AATCGTGGCATTATGGGGCTGTGGATGGTGCTAAGTGGAACTCGGTCATGCGAGACGCACTAAAACGTGCCCCAGTAAGGGGGGAATGACGGGCCCCGCGAGTGTCGTTGGCTGCCCTATTTGCAAGAAATAGGGGCAGAGGCGGCGGGCACTGATGATGCATGACCAGAAAGGTAGTTTATGGGCTCCGGTGCTCATCCGAGCAACGAAAGCGGCTGACAAACACGTTCTCAAATTTTCACGATATCATTTTGCGGTAGTGCTACTGATGCTCAGCTCGATTTGAATAGTGTCGAGATTCCCGACTAAAAGCTCTGCACTAGTTCCTTCTTTATGTGCCTGGGGTACTGCTCAATGAAATCCTTTCCCACAGGCGCTGCCTGACTAAACACAACCCACAAAACGGGCCTGTGTGTGAGCGCTTCTTGATATGAACAGTAGCTCCCCGTGTCCCCAACAGTGCTTATATTACGAAAGCAGCAGAGCGTTGCCCTGTCTCTGAGCTCAACTCTAGTCTCCCTTAAGTACTAGTATGCGATTTAGAGGCACACGGGCGCTGCTGCACTTGTATGGGAGCAGTCGCACGCTAGTCCACGCCGGCAACGGCCTGTAAGGCCTCCGCGTATTTGTCATGCTACGTTTCACTGGAATTGCTTTTTGTAAAAACGAACAGAAAATGCTCTTGAGTGCTTTGGAGGCAACTTGAAACTGCACATTGTAATCTTGAAGCCTTGCGCTTGGCTGTGCCTGAAGCCCCCGCGAGCGGCAGTGCCCATGAACTACCTTGTTGCTTGACATCTTCCGAAATCGACATCTTTTTGCTGCCTTTTTTCTTACTGGAACAATCCATTTAATGTGGAAATCGGAATCAAACACGAATGAGAGCTGCAGATTCTCCTTTCCAAGGTGTTGGCACTTGATCATGTTTGTCGCCTGCAGGCCACCGCTTGAGAGCTAGCGCCACAACCCCGTAGTTATTTTTATTAGCCAAAGTATTGACTTACGTTGTTAAGTTCAATGAATAACCCTCTGGGACTCCCCTGGACAGAAATGCAGCGAAATCTTTTCACCACTTGCGGCGCCGTGGCTTGAAAAGACTTTGCTGAGCGTGTGACTGCAGAGCTGCAAACAGCGTCCGGAATGTGCAAATATGCAGCCTACAGGGGAGTTTAAAGGGTGTCTGGAAGCTAAATTAGGACACGTTCGCAGCAGCGTTATGAAGCCTCTAGCTCAATTCGTTTCCTGGGAACGACTTTTCTATGAAGTGGCCGTAATGGTTTTTTATGTTTTGGTTCTATTCCACCTTAAAAGCATAGCTTTAAGAGTGGCAGCCGGTGCCTCCAGCTTCCTACAAAGCCCCTAGTAGTCGGTAGGAAGAGGTGTAGACTTGCAGTGGTGTTCAGCAGGCCTCGCACTTCTCGTTTCAACAAATAAGTTATGCAGGTGCTGATCTCAGGTAGACAGTGATCGTTGGAGTTGCGGTGACGTCCTTATCTCATACGCTGATTTTCAAACTGAGGCGGAGGCCAACTACGTTGTGTTAGTACTCGGCAACGCTAGCCAATGCGCTTTGGTCTTAAGTAGTTCATCAACTTTGTGAAAAATCAAGCTCATGCATTGTCATAATGTGCTGGCTTTCTTGCGCAAGCGTGCCTGGGCTCTACCTGTACTTGACCTGCCTCTCTTGTTTTGCGCAAAAATTTCACATCTTTGTCGATTTTGTTCCATTTCAGTCACATTAGTGTAACAAGATCAGCAATTTGGGGACAAAAGTACCACTTACCGGCTCCAACTGTAGGCCGGCGGCGGGCGCAATTTCCAAAACTAGTGCGGCGGCTAGAGGAGGCAGTAGTGCGTAGAGAAAGTTAAAATTAACAGTAAATCATAAAAAGGGTCCTTTGAAACACTTGAATAGTCTAGTTTTGCACATGCAAATGCTCTCCAGGTTTTATATATGAGAGCATATCCATGCCCAAACAAACAGGCGAAATCCGTTCTGGCCTTTCCCATGTGAAGTTGTTTCGATCGCGTCGCCGCTCCCCTGTGTGCCACCCTTAGCGGGAAAGTGTAGCTCCATTAATACAAGCTAAAGATCCAAACAGAGATTAGAGAACGTGCTTGGCTGTGGCTGGTACACAGCGGCGCGCAACAGCCCTTAAGATCCTTGTGGTTCTGCCTCTCACGGAGATCGCTTCCCCTCCTACTAATTCATGCAGGAGCGCGGTTGGCAGAGGCCCATCGTTGCTCGCATTTCCCAGTGAACCACTATTTTCCGGATGAGGCTTTCTCGCGCTGGCTGCAGGGATGTTCAGGGCCTCTTGAATTCAGAACTTAACTATCATCTTCGCAGCATAACACCATATTCACCGTCTGTACAGCGGCCTTCCCTCCGGGGAGAGGCTGAATTTGGAGGAGCTGCCCCTCTTCTTTGCCACGAGCTTATGTGTGCCAGGCTGTAAAGGTGAACAGTGCTCAGTGTGTCTCGTCTTAGGGGAAGCATGGCATTGTGAGTATTCTTCTAGCTTCCCACGCAGTGGAATTTGTATTGAGTATTAAATTTATTTGTGATTTTAATAGCCCTTCAGCATTTAAGGCAGTTTAATGAAATGTATATGGATACACTAGAATGCTATAGAGGGAGGCCCTCCTAGCACACAGGGCTTCGAGCGATTGCGAACTTGTACACAGCAGTCTACAAAATAACTCTGAGTCAAGATTTCTTGCCGAAGGAAAACTAATAGCGCAAATAGTTAAAAGTACCATTTGTAGCAATTTCTGCGGCTGCATGCATGCTTGTGACGCTGAGGCCCCGCTGGTGCTCCCCACATGGAAGCTGCTGACCCGCACCCCTCCTTGCTGCGCCTCTTGCATGCTGTTCTATGTGTTGGTTTGAAGCAAAGCCGTTTCGTCCGTCTTCTCTTCAGCGTTTGCTGACTTCTAATTAGTCCTTTTGATCGGGGTTTGGGGTTTACGGAGGCAGGAAGTGGAAAGGATGCCGACGAAACGCAGGAACGCCGGCCGCTCCAAACACGGCAGAGGCCATGTCAACCCCGTCAGGTGCAGCAACTGCGGCCGCTCGTGCCCCAAGGACAAAGCCATCAAGCGCTTCAGTGTCCGCAACATAGTTGACGCTTCTTCCCAGAGAGATCTCAGGGAGGCCTCCGCCTACCACAGTACGGGCCACGGACGGCCGCAGCTGCCCCCCACTAGCATGCATTAGGACCGCTTGCTGTTCTTTTCTCTTTGTCATTTCGTGTAGCATTGGCGAATTGATTTCAACTCCGTTGCTTGCGCAAAGAGGAACTCATCCCCGCGGGTGCTTCTTGACGAGGCCTCTGCTGGGGTCTTTCTCGCAGCCTGCGCAGCTGGTCTTGTTTCCTTGAAATATGTTTTTGCACTTCTTTCGCCTTCATCGGGCAGCGGCTTTGGTCACCTCTGGTGCCTCCACGGAGTCCTTTTGTGGCTTCGTGTTTTAACACTTTGGCTCTGGATTTGTCGCAGCAGTGCAGATCCTTGCTGATGAATGTGCAGTATTTTAAATTGGTATTAAAGAGGCCTTTTGCTCTTTCCATGGCGAGCTTTTCCTCCACTAGACTTCTCAAGTTTCTCTGCATTTCTCCGCTTTCCGTAGCCAGTGGTTCGAGAGGCCTGTGCCTGTTTCGGTGTTGCTGTGCTGTGCCTGTGAGATCTGCGCGTCGCGAGTGCATGCTGTGGTGGATTGGAGGCAAAAAAAGGATTAATTTTATCTTGCAAAACATAAAATTAGGTTAAATTGCTGCTGCGGCGTGTGCGTGTGTACTGCGCAGCCTACAACTTGCCCAAGCTGTACATCAAGCACTGCTACTGCATCTCCTGCGCCATCCACTCGCGAGTGGTGCGCGTGCGCTCGCGGGAAAGACGCAGAGTCCGGACGAACCCGCAGGCCCGCGTGCACGGGGGCAACGTGGGTGGCGGCCGCAACTGAGGCGGCAGCAGCAGCAGCAGCAGCAGCAGCAGCAGCAGCAGCAGCAGCCTGCGTTGGCGGCGGCGGCTGGGGAAGCTGCTTCCCCTTCGTGACACGACGCGCCAGCTTTGCTGGGGCTGATAAACCTGCTTTCTTTACTTATTGATAAAGCGTCCCCAGCGCGCGACCCACGCGGGGCTTCTCAGCGCTGGCCAACGCTGCCCAGCCCGTAGTAGTGCACGGGGCAGTGCATTGGGGCTTATAGCATTTACTGGAGTGTAGACTGACTTAGTAACTGACTACGGAGGCACCAACTGAGCTTTAGACAGCAACGCAGATATCTTGTAGGGGCTGTAGCAGCGTTTGGCTGGAAACCAAGAAGCCGAGAGGGTTAGGCTTGATACAAACAGAGAGAGGTGTGATGTAGCATTCGAGGAATACGCCGCAGGGGGAAGTGTGGGGGAAGCCAATTGCTGTTTAGTTAGAGCTCCTGTAGTGAAGTCGTTTCGCCGCTGCAGCAGCGAGTTCGCTGGCATGGCGCAGTAGAAACCAGGCAGCGCCTGTAGGCGAAGTTGAATATCCCGCTGGTGAGAGTTGCAGAGCTTCTGGGACATCCAGGCCTCAGCTTTAAGAAATAGTGAAGGGTTTGAAACGGTGTACCCGCGAAATTCATTCCCAGCGCCGCTTTTTGGGCGTTTCCGGGCCAATTGCTGTTTAGTTAGAGCTCCTGTAGTGAAGTCGTTTCGCCGCTGCAGCAGCGAGTTCGCTGGCATGGCGCAGTAGAAACCAGGCAGCGCCTGTAGGCGAAGTTGAATATCCCGCTGGTGAGAGTTGCAGAGCTTCTGGGACATCCAGGCCTCAGCTTTAAGAAATAGTGAAGGGTTTGAAACGGTGTACCCGCGAAATTCATTCCCAGCGCCGCTTTTTGGGCGTTTCCGGGCTGGGCTCTGACGGGGTTCACGAATCGAAGCTGCTGAACGGAGAGGGGAAGGGAAGCTGCGTCTGTGAGAGGGAATGTTGTTATACTCTTCTTCATTTAGAAGCAAAAGTTATTTATGTGTTTGTTGCCATCTGTTTCAGTCAATTTGGGTCTACAGACAGCTTATTTTGCAGCCGTGGCTCCTTCGCAGTGGCGCTCAGCCGCTTCAGTTGTTCGTCTCCCGACACTTACGTTTTTGAATATAGAGTGGAACAATGGCATAATAAATTAAAAATAAATGAGCCGAGACATCTTCTCCTCTAGTCGCTTTCTTGTCAGATCGCCCTCTGCCTCCCCGTTCGCCGCCTTTCCGTGGGACCACCCCAGAGCAGCACGAGCGAGCACTTCTCCTCGCCTTGAACTTCAAAGGCAATTCTTTCCAACTAGGAGAAGCTTCAGATTGGCCGCGTTGAGTGCAGTTTCTTCTTCCTTAGCAGCAGAAACTTCCGCAGGCAACGGGGCCCCTGCAGGTCTTGTCTGCTGGAACATGTGCAGAAAAACGTGAACTCAGACGTTGAGGCTTTATTTTTGCGAGCTCGCTGGCTCCAGCGCTGCATGGCATGCGGGAATAAGTAGGTGTGCATGCAGGTTACCAACAAAATGTCCGTTTGATTCGACTAAGTTCGTTTGCAACTCGTTTCGGTTTCCCCTTGAAAGATGGAGCCCCCGCCGGCCCCCGCCGTGGACCGCGCCCTCTACGCCTTCGACGAAGAGGCGCACAACGACTTGCTGCACACTCTGCAGCAGCACAACCAGAGCCTGCGGCAGAAGCTGCAGCGCAGCAGCAGCTTGCAGAGTCCCGTGGCCTTCACAGATGTGTGGATTTCGGACTTGGCCTTGGCCAAGATGATGGCGCATGCAGAGAGCGGCGGCAAGATCGAAGTCATGGGGCTGCTGCTGGGCAAGGCGGTGGCCACAGCGGAGCCGCTGGAGCCGGGGGCCCCCCCCGCAGCTTCGCTGCAGGCCGAAGAGCCCTTGCTGGCAGCAGCAGAAGCTGCTGCTGCAGCAGCAGACGCAGCAGCAGAGGCGTGGGGGCCGCAGGGGCCCCTGAGAGGCTACTTTGTTGTCACAGACTGCTTCGCTTTGCCCGTCGAAGGCACTGAGACCCGAGTTAATGCAGCAGAAGAAGCTAATGAATATATGATTCAGTTCTTAGAAGCAGCAGAAAAGGCCGCAGTGCAGCAAAAAGTCGTTGGCTGGTACCACTCCCACCCCGACTACGGCTGCTGGCTCTCCGGCATTGATGTCCGCACGCAGCAGCTGCAGCAGCAGCACCAAGACCCCTTTCTCGCCATTGTTGTGAGGCTTGCTGCTGCCCTTTTCCCTCTAGAGTAAACTGCTGCGGATAGTGCAGCACAGCTTGGGGGGAACTCAGGAACTACAGAGTATACGCAGCAGCTGCTGCTGCAGCTGCTGCTGCAGCTGCTGCTGCAGCTGCTGCTGCAGCTGCTGCTGCAACTGCTGCTGCAGCAGCAGCTGCTGCTGCTGCTGCTGCAACTGCTGCTGCAGCAGCTGCCAGTGCCGAAAGGCACTAGAAAGCAGCCATTTACGTGGCCCCGGTGCTCCGCTGTACGTACAGGTCGATCCAATTCGAACAATAAGCAACGGATCCATAGAGGTCAGTGAGCCCCCAGAAGTGTTTTCTCTTCAAGGCAGTTCTTGCACAAACTAATTTCAAAGGAAAAGTGAAATGTTCGTAGCAGCTTTGCGATGCATGTTAGCCCTTTTTTTCATCTTTTTCTTTCATATTGTTGCTTCTGAAACTTGGCAAAGATTCTCGTATTTGTTTTGTTTGCCCGCGCATGCTGGCTTGCGTTGTTCCTCTGATCTGCAATTAATTCAACACTTTCTACCCCTCTGTCGCCGTTTCTATTCCACTTATTGGTTTTGTTGTGCTGCTACTTCTTTGCCTTTTGCTGCTTGGGAGGGGGAATGGCTGCTTCCGTGTTTCCCTGCTGCTTGCGCTTTCCCCGGGGAGCTCGCTGGTGCTTGTTTTGCATGCAAAATGTTTTGTCGTTTTCGCTTAATAAAGACGCTTTTAGTTGAAATAAAGACGCTTTTAGTTGAAGCAAAGTTTGCAAAAGGCATGCAGACTCAAATGGCGCTTTGTTCAACTCTTGCAACTGCGCAGCTGGGAGCGTTTCGAACCTTTTTGCCGGGGGAGACGAGAAGGGAAGACGAGGCAGAAGCTGGCGAGTCGCCCTCGCAGTTGTTGCCTGCTGAGAAAGTAAACGACTTCGGGGCCCATTGGCAGCAGTGAGGCCTTACTGCATGCCTCACACTCTGCAGACGGAGTCTATCACTCACACGCGCAATTTAACAAAAGAAACTTCCCTTTCCCAGCCACAGAAATGGAGTCACAGCTTCACAGCGGGGAGATGCACGGGAAATCGTGCATAGCTTCATTTTCGAAGCAGCAGAACTGCCACGTGTTGCGTATCCGTAGCAGAGCCGTAGAGTAGTGCAACAGTGGTGTTGTGGACTAGCCAGGTAGTAGAGTTCAAAGGTCAAAGCCCCTGAAATTCTTAATAATGCAAGTAAAAGAAAAATCAAGTTTTTGCATGCATAACATGTGAATGAAACCACGAGCGCCTGAGCAGAAGAGCTTGCTGATCCAGTTTTACCTGTTCGACTAGGAGCACATAATAGCCAGCTTCGCAAAAGTTGGTTTTTGGTTTTTAATGACATATGCTGAAAGACGTTTCTGCATTTAAATCCTTGTTTTGTGCGTTGTTATGTTAGAAACTGACCTGCGCTGGAAAAGCTGTGCATTTGAATTCATGTTTTGTGCACTGTTGTCTTAGAGTGCTGCTGGCCTGTGCGGGCGCAGGTATTATCGTCTGCGGGTGCACTACTGCTGCAACTCTTTAAGTGCGCGGCTGCTGGAGGGAATGTGCAACGCCACTTGGCCGCAGGTGCTTGCGGGCCCAAGTCTTCGTCGGGTGCGACTTGTGCCATTTCTTGTGTTGTGTTCCCTCCACTAAGTCATTTTCCTGTTAGTTTCACTCAAAAGCACTTTGGCCATTGTTTTCCTACACAATTTGCGCTTTTTTCCATACACAACTGGACCAACTGGCGTGCGTTTTTGCTTCTAATGTGGAGCAACGCACAGCTCAAGCCCAGCAGCCACCACCAGCTGCAGCAGCCCAGCAAAGCATTACTTTTGACTGTTTTCTGCCTGATGTTCTTTTCCAAACTCTTCGCTGTGAATTTGTTTTTGTTTGTTTCCCAAATACAGAACAGGCCCCTTGAGCTGCGGCGGTTGGAAGCCATCTTGGAGTCTTGCGACGAAGCCATTAGCGCTGCCGCGAGCAGGTAATTCAAAGTATGAAGTGTTGCCACAAGTCTGCATGCAGACGTCTTCGGTGGCATTTGTAAACACTTATTAGTGCCTGACTTTCGGAAAGATATTCTCATGCCCGCCTGCCTGAGAGCTCACGTGTGCGAGCTCTTCAGAATCAATTTTGGCTTCGCTTTCGAGTTGCTGCTTCTGCAGCAGCAACTAGCGGCGCTGTAGCCCAGATGGAGTACTTGCATGCCTGTTTGCTTTCGTCTTTTCGGATATTTGAAGTTTTCAAAAGCGCTTTTTGTCTTTGTTTCCCCAGCCAGCCCGCGCCTGCGGCTGAAGCGAACGGCCAGGAAATGGGGGATGGATTTGAGCTAGAAGACAACACTCTGGCTGCAGAATACTCGGAAGAATTGGAATTCGCAAGTCAAAAGGAAAAAGATCTTTCTGACCGGCTTCTGAGCACTGCAGAGAAAGCAGCAGATATTGCCGTGCGCGCGCTTGGGGGTGAACATGAAGCAGCAGCTCTGGTTGGTTTCTTGCAATTAGCTGCTTCTCTGCATGCGATCTAATATGAATTTGTTCATGAGTGACCTAATATGAATTTGTTCATAATTGTTTTTCCCCCTTTTGGCTGCTCTTTTTCTTATCATTTAATGCGGATGACATATTTTTTGAAATTCGAATTCACACAAATAATGCGAATGAGCAAACAAGTAGCAGAGAGGCACGTTCAACAATGTGGATTTGCGTTTATTTTTGAAATTCGAATTCACACAAATAATGCGAATGAGCAAACAAGTAGCAGAGAGGCACGTTCAACAATGTGGATTTGCGTTTACTTATTTGTCGGCTTTCTGTTTTTGTATTTGGGTTGCTGGCTGTGGGCCGTCACAGTAAACCTCCAGAGAACTGTAGAAGAAGACGCTCGGGAGAGTAATCCCTGGTGTGCATTATGGTCTCTCATTGGTTTCAATGGAGCATTTTTGCAGTATTATTTCCGTTTTAATAATTATTAATGCAAAAAAGGACAAAGCTGCAAGTTTTCCGGGGCTGCAATCTTCTGCATGTGATGCTTTCTGCCGCAGAGTGCCATCTACCGAGACACAACTTGGCGGCAGGAAGTCCTCGCGTCCAGCAAAAGAGAAGAGCAGTAGAAGATTGAGAAGATAATGCCAAAAAGTTCGAAACTTCGCTTCGAAACTTTCTAATCTTCTTCTTGGCGAGCCAAGTGTTTAGGCGGTCACAGAGTGCAGGAGGCGGCGCGCTGCAGCGCTGTACAGCTTTTGCTGGGCTGGGGTATTCGCGGGGTGTGCAGCTAGTTTGAGTTTAAAACTATTCCTTGCTTTTGAATTGTTGGGAAAACTTCTACTTAGACTGGATCTGCTGCAGCTTGCAGCTTCGAGATCTGCCCAGGATTGGCAGCAGCAGCAGCAGCAGCAGCTGCTGCTGCTGTTGCTGCTGGGTTGCTGCTGCTCGCCGTTGTTCCTCTACCTTACTTTGCACACATATGTTCGCCGCTGGTGCATTTCCGCACCAGTGGTCTCTTTCAAACAGCTCGGGCACTCCCTGTGGGGCCCCAGGCTCTCGTGGCGCAGCAGGAACTGCCTGCAGCGCCTGAGCTGCTGCAGCTCTGCTGCTGCGCTGCTGCGCTGCTGCAGCCCCGCTGGCGGGGGCAGCAGCAGTGCGCAGCAGCGCAGCAGCAGCGCGGCAGCACCCCAAGACCTGGCGAGAGTTCGCGGGCCCCTCAAGCCAGTTGACCCTCCAAAACCTTACAAACCCCTTTAAAGAATTACTGAGAAATAAAGCCCTAAGGAATAAATACTGACAAGCACTTAACCACAACTCACTCTTCGCCCAGACGCAGCAGCACGAACTGCATGCACAACGCTGCAGCAAACAAATCCTTCCCGACATTGAAGAGGAACAAACACCACAGAAAAACCAAAACAAATGCGCAAAAGGCGGATACATCATCTCGAAACACAAAGACGCCTTGCGCAAACAGCCAAGAGCGCGCACGACGGACCCTTAACACCCGCCTCGCTGGCTAGCTAGCTAGCTAGCTGCGTGGCCAGGTGGCGCTGTCTGCCTGGCTGGCTTGCTAGCTACCTAGCTAACTAGCTAGCTACATACGTAGCTACCCAGCTAGCTAGCTAGCCACGAAGCCAGACAGCACCACCTGGCCACGGAGCTCTCAAGCTAGCCGTCCAGCTCCCTCGCTAGCTAGCTAGCTGGCTAGCTAGCTAGCTAGCTAGCTACCTGGCGGCTGCTTGTGGAGACGAGAAGGAGCGCAAGAGGAACGTGAGACCAACTTGGGGGGCGGAGTGTATGTACAGTCTGCGCACTTCGTCTTGGGTGGCCCTCGGGCGGACTTAGCGCCAGAGGCGATCCCATTTGCTGTTTTTGCTGCTGCTGTTTTTGCTGCTGCTGTTTTTGCTGCTGCCGTTTTTGCTGCTGCTGTTTTTGCTGCTGCCGTTTTTGCTGCTGCCGCTTTTGCTGCTGTTCTTTTTGCTGCTTTTTCTTTCGCAGTAGTGTCTCCGTAGCTTCTTCACCAGTACAGACAAACTCAGGCCCTTTCTGGCCTGCCGAGGGAGTGTCTTTGGGCCCCTCGTCTTTTCGCAGGCCCCGGGGAGTCCGTGTTGCTCCCCGGGTGTACGTACACCTGGGGTGTGCACGTACACCTGGGGTGTACACGCAGATTCTGAGGTGTACAAGTAGACCCTGAGGTGTACACGTACACCTGGGGTGTACACCCACATTCTGAGGTGTGGTGTACGTACACCTGGGGTGTACGTACACCTGGGGTGTACGTACAGTGTGGGGTGTACACGTACAGCGTGGGGTGTACGTACAGCGGAGCTAGCGGTTGTGGGCCTGCCTGCTGGCTGCAGCTTCGGCGGCCCAGCCGTTGGGCATTTTGGCCTCGGCAATGAACTCGGGAATGGAGTTGAGTTGGGTGGCGGGGGGTTTGTTGGAGCGTTTGGACTCCATGCGTTTGGAGCGGGCGAACTCCAAAGTGGACAAGTTGCCAGTTTCCCAGCCCAAGTTGAGGTCGGGGGGGGCCCCCGGGGCCCCCCTGAGGGGGGCCCCCACGGGGGCCCCCAGCCGCTTGGAGGGCTTGACTTCGTCGGACTCGAAGTAGGGACTGTCGCCAGTTTCCACGGAGGGCCGGAAGGAAGAAGACCTGCTCAAGTCCCCCCCCCCGTGACCACTGGTCTGGTCCGGTCTGGTCTGGAAGGAGGGCGGCGAGGGGCTGCAGAAGCAGTCAATCCACCAGGGCATGCTCACGTGTTTGCGCAGAATCAAACACCCCAGCAGTCCCAAAAAGAAAACTGTCACCGACCCCACAGCCACTCCGATTACCCAGCCAGGATATCCTTCTTCTCTTTGAATATAATCTGTCGTCGCCGTCACCTGAACAACACCCCCCACCCACGCCTCCCAGCTGTACGTACACCCCACGCCCCACACCTCCAGCAGCAGCAGCAGC